TAGTTACTACACAAGTAGTGAATGTGAATTATAAATTATTATTTTTTTTTCTCAATTATATTATATTAAGACAAATAGCCTATCACTGATGTATTTCAACAAATAACTATTTTTTTTATAATTATATTTTTGTGTTTATCCTATAAAAATGTAAATGCATATATTTGCATATTTTTGGTAAATAAAATGCATATTTTACCATTTTTTATTGCATACAAATTCTAGCCCTGCTTATGACTATAGCCTTCTCGGTTCTTTCCCGATCAAAAAAGTTTTTGCTATGTTGTACATTTGTGAGACGGAGACAACACATGCGGGTGTAGCGTCCTCTTAATACCTATTTAATTTAAAAATAACACAGTTTCAAAAACGCCGACTAGACCATTACATAATAATTAATAATATAATATATTGATTTTGGTATTTTAGTCCATAAATATCTTGTTTATTTATTCCAAATGAACAACTGTTCAGTAATGAGTAGGTAATACAGGCAATACAGCTGCAGCACGATAGAATTGGATGGAATCTCACGAACTCGACATAATATGCGGAGTTTCAGTGGTGTAATAATAGGCTATCAATTACCTTTTAACTGATTTTTTTTTTACTTTATTTACAAAACTAAAAAGTACATTAATATAGTAAATACTAAACACGATTTAGTGTCTAGATACCTATATATAATTATAATTATTATCTAAAATAATAGCAAAAAAAAGACCAAGGGTGGGATTAATCCCCCCGTAAATACGCCGCGACCTGATTACCGCCTATCGTTCCATCACGTCGAGAATTCCAGCTGTCTATTACACATTTATACGCCAACGGCATACGATAGCTTTTTCTAAGTATTCCAATTTGTATATCTTAAAATACTCATAACTCACTTTAAAATTAAAATATAATAAAAGGCTTAAAAATTCTTTAGATCTAACCTTTAAATTTGATTAGAATTTAGAGGTCAATTCACTCTAATTTTTAAACTTTAACGGAGCTAAACGTAATCTGCTGAGCGTAAAATTTGTTAGACAGAGACAACAAAATAAGTCCTTTTAATTAATCGTGAAATTATTTCTCAACAGTGAGTAAATAATTATGAAGATATTTTTATGCTAATATTAGTCCGATTGTACAAAAATTATAATTTATTTTGTTTATGGATGAGAACATGACTGTATTAATTTTAGATTCTGAGTGGAACTGCGTGTAATTTTAGAGTTACCCCAAAAATCAAAATCGATTTTTGGTAAAAATTTCCGGTTTTCCTTGATTGTTATGTTGTTTTACCCGGCGCTTTTGAAAACTATTGGGAAATAAATTTTGACCTCCCCAATTCACTAACAATATTCACTTTCCCATCGAACAAGCTGATATTAAAGTTGAAAATCGAGCCATTATTTCGACTACTTATCGTGTACACACAACACACACACAAAAAAGTGTTTTTCGCTCAGAAACTATTTTCTTATGACATTATATCATTGAATTCAAATTTAAAACTATCCATTACAGTGGCCCACTTGTGATCTTCTGTACAGCAGAGCGACACCCACATGCCCACCTTCTTTTTATTTATGTGGGTTCAATAGCCATTATAGGTCTATGTTCTATAAATATGGCCTGCTCGGGTGTCTTTAATAAGGGGTAATATTTAGGTAATATGCAATTTTGTTGGCATTTGTGTTGTCACTCAGCACGCCCTGTGCACACATGTCAACAGCACCGCTGATGATATGACGTGTGAAATGCATGTTTTTTGCACAAAACACGGTTATAGGAAAAACTCACGCATCGTAGTGGTCTGATTTGGTTAATTTTTTTTTTGTTTTAAGTGAGAATTGTCTATAGGGGGGCGAATTTGACTTCAATTCTTAATTTCGTAGCTTAAAACAAAAAAAAATAAAAATAACAAAATCTTGTGAAAAATGATCATAATAATATTATTACGATGAATATTATTCAAAATCGTATTTTATGGTTTAGCCGGTTTGGGAATAGAATTTTGAAAATCTAAGTCCAATGATCCCCGAAAAAAAGTGTTTTTCTTTCAAAACGAAAAAAAGAAACCTGATCACTCTAAGGTGAAACCCTGAGTTTTTCCTGTAAAGCATGTTTTTGAGCAAAAAAACTGGTTACGGAAGGCTCCTTAATCCGGGATTGAATAGAGCAAAACTGTTTTTCATACATTTTCTTATTTAAATATTATATAACATCAATATAAAATTAACAATCATTAAATAACAGATATAGTGATTTATATATATTTATAAGATTGGTCTTCTTAAACCCTTAAACTCTTGACTTAAAATAAAATTCTTGTTCAATTATCTACTACTTATTGCCTCGATTTAAAGTATACTTAAGTGGAAGTATCTTGAATGTGGTTCTTGGAGAAACAGTAATGACTATACTCTGTTCAAAATAAGATCGTGACCCGGCGGCGACCAGTTTTCGTCGGGCGGCGGTCAGACATATGGCCAGATGCCGTCCCCACTACAGCGACGCGTCGGGCGCAGCCACGTAACAAAGCCACGCCCATGCGCACAACTCGGCCGCCGGGTCACGATCTTATTTTGAACAGAGTATAATATGATTACCTATAACGAAAAACAATTTTTAGTGTATACTTACCTAATGTTATAATATAAAATATGAATTAATATTATTAATAATGATTTAAATATGAAATTTATGAAGGCAAATTTAAAAAATATACCTAATAAAAATATTTTATATTAGATTTATGTTCTTAATACGGTAACCATATGTCCGTATTATTAATACGGTAAGTGGTAAGTTGAAGTACCTAATATTATTTGTATACCTATTGTAATAATATACTTTAGAAGTTTCGAGTAACCAGCTACCCGCGAATAATATTTTTAAATTACTTCACAAACTAAAATCCTTATTTTTCATTTAAATATCTAATTTAGACCAAATTTTAACTTAAAATAACTATAAAAAAAATGTATTTATATATTTTTCAGATTTTTTGGTTACAGAATTAACTAGATACTATCGTTGAACCTAATTGTTTTAAATGTTAAATATAAAAATTAATAATATAAATAATTTGAGCATATTCATTGAATGTTTAGTGTTTGTTGGTAAGTGGCTTTTTTCTGTAGATTTTATTTTGGTGCTTTTTTTCCAAATTCAGAATTCATATTATAATCAACGGTTTACGGCTATACAGTATACACTAGGTATATTATAATAGTCATTATAATAAGTTATAGTCATTAATACGTGTAAGAAAATGTTAAATACCTATTAAATATTAATATTAAATATTAATACAGACGGCTGGAAATAGTAGGTAGGTACCTCTAAAATACATTATTCTGTATTCGTCAACAAGAAAGTTACCTATTGAATTCTTGAACACATAGGCTCCAATAGGGGGAATTTAGAGGGTATTAGTACCCCCAATTCTAAAATTAGCACCCTCTAATAATTTATATGTTTATATATATTATGCAAAAAATTATTTTTATTTTTTAACATTGAAAATAAAAATTTAAAATTTGATTTAAATTTGTTTGGATATATTCAAAATATCTAATTTGTGAATCTGATTATAAGAACAATTTCGATAGTAAAAACATTTACCGAAATCAAGTAGTTTATTTTTTAGAATTTTTTAAATATCAATATTTTTTGATTAAATGAATTTGGAACGTATACGTAAACTGCTACTATAATAACTTTTTTCAAAATATTTTTTTGGGGAATTTGCTGACATGAGTATATTAATTCTTAAATTATTTACTAATTTTATAATTTTAACAATTTTTGTCATACGTTTAAGAAGCGTCATTTTTTTTCGTCCAGTCTTTCTGTTACACCTTGTATACTAATATATTTTATTTGTCATATTTTTTGAGTAAAATATAAAAAAAAGTTGTTTTCAATTTTTAATAAATTAAAATTGACTATTGTATTAATTTTTATAAAATGTACCTAATACACTATAAGTATTTATTTATTAATTAATTGACGCCAGTCGGCATTTACATAGATGGTAATATATACAGTTAATAAAAAATGATCTTATAAATGTAAAAATCATTGATAACATAAATAATAATGTAAATTTAATATTTTAATGTACTAATAACTTAATAATAAACATAAAGATAAATAACTAGGAAGTGAACAGCTTCCTAATTATGAGCGTGGCAATAAAACTAAGATACGATTATTCAATGTTAAATTTTCATAAAATTTTTTTGCTCAAAAAAGTCATAAATGCCTCATAGTTATAATTTAATTTAAATGCAGAGCTTAAGCACCCTCTCAGTTTTTTTTATCGAAATCGCGCCTATGCTTGAACAGTTTCATTACGGACATTTAATCATTAAAAACAAATATAGATATAGGTACGTTTGATGTACGTAAACAACGCGGTGAAAATGACGAGAAAGACTGAGCAAATTCGCGAATCGTCTACAACATTGCCGTTTTGAAATATTACATAGATACGGTATGTAGAGCACTAGAGCAGTGACGAAAACTAAAAACAGTATGTAAACAGTAAACATACTATAAACAGTATGTCAGTGTTGTGGCTGGCTTGTTTCGGCCGCCACAGCAGCGCTTCACGAAACGTATCGAACCTTCTCGAACGTTTCGGCCGTCACAGCAGCGCTTCACGAAACGTATCGTACCTTCTCGAACGATCGGTCCGTCTATATAACCGCAAACGGCGCTTTCCCTGCATCAGTTCGAATTCGTGAGCGACGCCTGTGCGGTTCGTGTTTCAACGAGACATTATATTGTTATTGCGACTCTCTGTGTTACAGTTTACACACATTTTATTTTACCGTGCGTGTTTGAAGACAAGTCAAAGAGTGATTTTAAATCGTTATTGCGATCGAACCGTGGTACCTATATATTATATACTATAATATTAATATACACACATAATCACATTTGTGTTATTGTTTCGCATTAATTGTGCGTGCATTAAAATATCGACTGCAGTTGACGAAATGGCCGTACGAACGGCGATCGGTATCGATCTGGGCACCACATATTCTTGTGTGGGCGTCTGGCAACACGGAAAAGTGGAGATCATCGCCAACGATCAAGGTAACAGGACCACACCGAGTTATGTGGCGTTTACCGACACCGAACGGTTGATCGGTGACGCGGCCAAGAACCAGGTGGCGATGAATCCCGTCAATACGGTGTTCGACGCGAAACGTTTGATCGGCCGTCGTTTTGACGACGATAAGACACAGGCGGACATCAAGCACTGGCCGTTCACGGTGATCAGCGACAGTGGGAAGCCCAAGATCCAAGTGGAATTCAAAGGTGAACGGAAAGTTTTCGCGCCGGAAGAAATCAGTTCGATGGTGTTGACCAAAATGAAGGAGACCGCGGAAGCGTACTTGGGCCGTAACGTCACGGACGCCGTCATCACGGTGCCGGCGTACTTCAACGACTCGCAGAGACAGGCGACAAAGGACGCGGGTGCCATAGCCGGTCTGAACGTAATGCGAATAATCAACGAACCGACGGCCGCGGCCCTGGCTTACGGTCTGGACAAGAACTTGAAGGGAGAGAGGAACGTGTTGATATTTGACCTGGGCGGCGGCACGTTCGACGTGTCGATACTGCAGATCGACGAGGGTTCTATATTCGAAGTGAAATCCACGGCGGGCGACACACACTTGGGCGGTGAGGACTTCGACAACAGACTGGTGTCTCATTTGGCCGACGAGTTCAAGAGGAAGACTAAAAAGGACGTGCGCGCCAATCCTAGGGCGCTGAGGCGGCTGAGGACTGCCGCCGAACGGGCTAAGAGGACATTGTCATCCAGCTCGGAAGCCACCCTAGAGATCGACGCACTGGTCGACGGCATCGATTTTTACACTCGTGTGTCTCGGGCCCGTTTCGAGGAGCTGTGCGCCGATTTGTTCCGGTCGACTCTACAACCGGTGGAGAAGGCATTGGCGGATGCCAAGTTGGACAAAGGAGACATACAAGACGTGGTACTCGTGGGCGGTTCGACGAGGATCCCGAAGATCCAGAGTCTCCTGCAAAACTTCTTCTGCGGCAAGCCACTCAACCTGTCCATCAACCCCGACGAGGCGGTAGCGTACGGCGCGGCGGTGCAGGCGGCCATCCTCAGCGGTGACACGAGTTCTGCAATCCAAGATGTGTTGCTCGTGGATGTCACCCCCCTGTCGCTCGGCATAGAGACCGCGGGCGGCGTTATGACCAAAATCGTTGAACGCAACTCTACCATTCCGTGCAAACAAACGCAGACGTTCACCACGTACGCAGACAACCAGCCGGCCGTCACTGTACAGGTGTTCGAAGGTGAAAGGGCCTTGACAAAGGACAACAACCTGCTGGGTACGTTCGACCTGACTGGCATACCCCCAGCTCCCAGAGGAGTGCCCAAGATCGAAGTGACTTTCGATATGGACGCCAATGGCATTTTGAACGTTTCGGCCAAGGACAATAGCTCTGGGCGCTCCAAGAACATCGTCATCAAAAACGACAAGGGCCGTCTGTCTCAAGCCGAAATCGATCGTATGCTCAGCGAGGCCGAACGGTATAAAGAAGAGGACGAACGACAAAAAGTGAAGATAGCGGCCAAAAACCAGCTGGAGAGCTACGTGTTTGGTGTTAAACAGGCGTTGGACGAGGCTGGCGACAAGTTGACCGAATCTGAGAAGAACGCCGGCAAAAAGGAATGCGAAGCGGTCATCCAGTGGTTGGATAGCAATCAGTTGGCGGAAAAGGAAGAGTATGAGTTCAAGCTAAAGGAAATCCAAAACAGCTGTTCGGCTCTGATGTTGAAGATCCACGGCGCAGGACAACCCGGATCAACTAACGCGCCACCCGGTGCCAATGGTTTCCCTGGAGCCCGTCCCCGAGGACCTACCGTTGAAGAAGTCGATTAATATTTTGTAACTATAAGTGATCTGATATTTGTAAATAACATTTATCAACTGTATCCTATATTTTGTTTCCTATACTATATTATAAAGTATTATCACTAGATATATAGGATGTAAGTTTAGATTTATCTGTCTATTGCACTTCATAATTTGTTATTATTAAATGTTTTCGGCAAAATAAATATTTATTCATTCTTTATTAGCTGTATACGTTTTGAGTTTTTATTTAACCAGGTAAAAGTACACTATTAGGTGCAGTCTGCAACAATTATTAATTAATACCTAATACCTATACTCATTAAATTTTGGTTTAAAAATTTGGTCGTACCTATAAATGTATAGTTCATATTAGCCGCTATTGTTATCATATAGATATATTATATTATGTTTAAATGTTGGTACTTATATGCATTTGATCATAGACAAAATATTGGGAAAAAGGTATATTATTATTGTTCATAGGTCATACTGTCATAAGTGTCATAGCCTCATAGGAATTCCAAGTTAAAATATATCGTGGCCGGATATTTGTTTATTTCTGATAGTCATTGGTTACATAATGTGAGAGAAACAAAAAGTATTACTTCGGGGGTTTCAACATAGGCGCAAATTGGAGGAGGGGGCTTAGGGGGTGCTAAGCCCCGCCAAACTTAGCCGTAGCCCCCCCCAAACCTAGGACATACAATTTTTATTATATGCTAAATATTGCAATGGTCTGCTTGCCTTTAATATATTCAGCCCCCCCCCCAAGCCAAAAGTTGAAATTGAGCCTATGGGTTTCAAGAAATTTAATACCAACATTAAAAAGCCGCCAAGTAGGTAACCACTCGGCACTCAGGTATACAGTTTTAAGTATCTCAAATTGAATGTTTCTGATATTTTTTTAAACCATACTACCTATTTTTATAAAAATATAGATATATTATACACAAAATATTTTACTACTTTTACGTATCTAGATAAATACAATTTGTATTATAATGTTCAATACTCAGTTGACATATCAAATATCAATATAACATACTATAACAATTAACAAATAAAAGGCTTATAGCAAAATTTTATGTTTAATTTGAAGGTTGTGGGTATAATAATTAATATTATCTCTTACCAGGGATATTCTTTTATATAAAAAAAACCTATATAAAATATACAGTTTACAAAGACATATCAAATATTTGAGTATCTATGGAATTATTTTCTGTATAACTTTTGCAAAATAACAATTGTTTAGAATCATAATTAATATTGCGAAGATTATATGTATAGTAAAAATGTCTGCAATGTCTGCTTACCAGAATTTTGTTTCATTAACAGATCTTATACCTTTTGGTAAGCGTAAGACGGTTTAACATAAATAACCAAAACCTTAAATATAATATTTTACATTTAATTGTATCTTTAGTTTCCCAACTCAAAGAGATGTTTTTTAATTGGTTGACTTTGGATGATATTAATCGTAGCCGTCTTAAGTTCATAGTTGAACAAAACGAAAATAAAGAAATTAAACCAATGGTACTGGCCCTAGAACAATGGGATCGTTTGCAAAACTATGGTATGTCCAAACAATTTTTTATGGTTATTTTGTAAATATTTATAGATTGTTAGATTGTAATTTATATTATATTTAAAAAAATTGAGGAAAACTAAAAGTTTAAAACAATAGATAAACATTACATATTTATTAAATCACTAGAAATGTTATTCTATTCGAGTTATTGAAAAGTAGTTATAATCAGTAACGCAACCACCCCAAACATTTCGGTGGTGGCGAATCGCTGCCCATTCTTTAAATCAAGTTGGTAGGTAGGTAGCTCATGTTTTTTGATGATGAATGAGTTTGCTTTAAATTTTTATTTTTTAGATTATTGGTTTGAAAAAAATTAATACTTAATGGTTTAACGAAATTAAAATGCCCTATTTTTTTAGTTTAAGCTTTATCATTTGTTGTCTATAATAAACGCTTATTTTTCACTCATTTCCTTTGATTTGAATCCTTAAATCCTTTACTTCTGCATTTTATGTAGTAAGTCTCACAAGTCTCAAGTAGAACTCGAAGTAACAAATCAACTAAATTATATAGATGTTAGGATGGCTAGTGTAGAATGAAACATTTAATTTTAAGCGAAAACTCCCGGTGTATTACCCCAGGCCTCACCAACAACCATATAAAAGGTTATTGGGCCGGAATTTACTGGTATCTGACGTCGTAAATAACTCGTCTGGCCACAACACATCCACAGGATAACAACCAAAAATTTTGGGTGCGATGAAACTCTACCATAAAATTTTCTAAAAAGTAACCCGATGGAGCTTTGCCCCCACCCTCCTATTCATTGCCTATTTTTATTATAAAAAAAATGAACCACTAAATAATTATTTTCACTTTATAGTTTCATTTTCGTTTTATAATTATTCATTACTTCAGTACCTACTTTCGAAAGTGTTCATGGCTTGTTTCAAGTCTTACTCAACAAATTTAAAGTCAGATCGACTACCTATTATCATTTAGATAGTTTTTAAAAAAGCTATGTAGGTATATAGGTACCTAAAGACCTAAGAGTCTAAGAATTAATATGAACTGTATAATTATTAGAGTTATCCGTGATGGACATAAGAACAAAAATATATAAATACACTTTACATAACGCCTTATTAAACAAGAAAAATTATAAAATGTTTTGTTTTACATATTTATGCTTATTATTATTATTATTTATGCCCGATGATATCATTGAATATGTGCGTGTTACGAACATTTTACTAAGGAATATGTAAAAATGCTTTATTATTAATTAATTAATTTTCAATTGATATACATAATATGAGTTTGATGATTAAATTAACTTGAGGGGGCAATGAGTAGTTTTGAAGGACTAAACCCACAGTGGTACAACTTGGGGGGGGGGGCAATGCCGCGGCCTATATCGCCGTGCCGTTACCGCGTCGCCGCAACGAATTTCCGCCCGGTCGACTATTGTAATATATATTACGTTATTTGTCATATACCTATTTCTTGTAATCGTCGAGGGCTTATCGCACCGACGACCGAGCGATCCCACATCCACTAATATTATATATAAGACTTTTGAGCCATTTAAAATCCTTGAAGATAGAGGCACTATTTCCAAATGTTAAAGTGGCTCTAAGAATATATTTGAGTATGGCCGTCACAAATTGTAGCGGAGAAAGATCTTTTTCTGCTCTAGGGCGGGTGAAAAACATTTTAAGATCCACTTTACGCCAGGATAAAATGAAGGCCCTTGCACTTTTGTTTATTGAAAGTGAATTCATGAACAATATTTTTTTCGATGAAATAGTAGTCTTTCGCAGCGTTAAAATCAAGGAAAAAACTTTTTTAAATGATTAATATTTAGTTCAATCATAAATTAAAAATGTTTAAATGCTTTTGTGTATAATTTTATTAAATATAAAACACGTTTTATTTTAAACAAAAAAAGTCTGTTGTTTTTACGTTTTCTTAATCCTCGTTTTACCCTCCAACCACTCCGATCATTCATAGGGGCGCCAAATCAACCCTAGCCTACTGGTGACCAACTCCTTAATCAGGCCCTGGCTAGGAGGGATTAGTCCCACAAAAGTATTACTTATTAAGTTATTTTAAATTAATAGTTTTGTTAGCTGTAGTAGCACACCCCCTCCAGAATCTTAACCCTAGTTGCGTCTATATAAGCCCACACAATTGCGCTACTGGTTATAATAAATTGTATTGTACATAGCTACATTTTAATTTTCCTAAGAAACCATTCCTAAGTATCTATTTTCTTTTTTAAATTTGGTGTTACATCGTTTACATACTAGTATAAAAAACAAGTCCCTACTTCCTTTATAACATAATAAACTTATAATTGGTGTGTACAAGTAGTACAAGTCTAATTAAAAATTCTATAATATGATAATCATAATACGGTAAACAGAATCAAAATCCCCGGGAAAACATTTTACGTTTCCTAATATGTTGACGATAATGTAACGTCAACATGTAAGAACTTCCAAATTTATTAGTGTACTCTATTCCACGAGAGAACATGCAGGTTCTATGCATCACCCCTCGTTACCTTGCTATCGAAACTGAATTCTCTACGGCAGGATGTCGCGTGGAGATGTATAGAAAAACAAATTTTGGTCAGACCGTGGCATGTTCTCTCTTTGAAACAAAGTACAATAAAATTAAGCATGAATAAATAAAACATATAAAAGTAAGATGAATTGTGTATTCAATATTTATCTTAAACATTAAACATAGCTTAGTTTTTTTAATTTAATAACTTTAATATTATAGGTATTTGATTTTTATTTTTTTTTTTTATAATTTTAGAACATATGATACATTTTTACATGATAAGTGTACCTACCTATACATTTGTAATTAAATATTAATTATGTTGTATACTTAATGCATTTAAAAATTATTTATTCAATCATTAATATCATTAATAAGAAATTTATCCAACACTTTTTTTTCTTTATAGGTAATATAATTTTATAGTGAATTATTAAGTTAAATAATGGTCACTGAACTATTTTATTTTTGTGACAGGAGATATTAATTAGATATCAATTAAAGGATAGATTTGAAATCAAACAATTTTAAGAATTTATAATTTTTATTGATTAGTTTATACAATTTAAATGCTTGTTCAGGGATGACCACATTTAGAGGCGACTTTATGAAGTATTATTAAATAAAATTTATATCTATTGTTACAAATAAATGAATAATATAATTTTATATGCATATATTGTTTACTATTATATTAGATAATATATTAGAAACTCTAGCTAGTTATAACTCAATCCTTGAACTATGTGAATTACATTGCATGAATCACTGTTATACATATTTGTAGGTTTTAAAAAAAAATTTAGTCATAAAGGTATATTTTTATTAGGAGCTCCCGGCGTGGAAATGGAGTCTGTCAGCTGTGACAATAATACCTTACGTGAAGTTGTAGAATCCAGTATTGTATTAAATGAAATTATACTAGACATGGAGTGACAAAAATACTGACTGTATAAAATATTTTTATTTTGTGGAGTACTCAAGAAAACTGTATCACATGTTTATAACCGTTTATAACCATTTATAACCGTACATAATACAGTTTATTTAATTTATACAATATATTAATTATACATAAATAAACAAGTAAAAATATTATAATTAAACAGAGCTTAACTTAAATAAGGAATAATTCAATTTTTAATAGACCAACATAAAGCCACTTTAATCGATTTGAGTGAATTCCATTGGAACAATATATGGAATTCGCATGGATGGCCCTTTCTAAAACAAAAATTATAAAATATATAATATTAATTTAAACTGAAAATCTTATCAAAGGATATAATGGGGTTAAAAAATTGTAAATATAATGGTATTTAAAAACAATACACTCATAATAAAGATTTTATGGCTCCTGATATTTTAATAAGTAGTTCATTTAATGATTTTAAGTTTTTTAAGCTTATTATATTTTATAAAATTCAGAATATATATTTACATATTTAAATATTTTAGATATCATTATACTAATTCTGATGTTAAAAGGCTTCAGACTTATCTAAGTATATAAATATTAAAATAGTAATGGCCTATTTATAATTGTCAAGTTGGACAATTTGTTCAATATTGACATCGAATAAAAATATCAATATTGTTCTGAATCACTTAAAGTTTATAATAGGTTTATTATTGTATTTAACTAGTATGTACATTTAACCAGTTGAAAATTGGCAATGATAATATTGTACAATATTTTTATACGTAGTAAAATATATAATTTTATTTACTTAATAATTATTTACTAAGGGGTATTTTTCCAATGAGTTATGACAACTTTAAACTGTTACCTTCTTGAATTTTTTGAAGTTTCTAAGGTTACTATTATTTCCTTGAATGATGTTTGCAGTTTGTGTAGGTCTGGATACCACCATACTGACAGTTTCCACAATGACCGAATTTAACAAGTAATCGTATTCAGTATTTTCATGTGTATTAGCAGACTGAAATATTTATAAATTGATTAATGTATTAACATTGACTATAAATAATAGTAAATACTACTAGTATAATCAATGGTATTTCATACATGCTTCTATGTCACTACCAATTTTATATATTTTCTTACCGATATATTAGACAGTATACTCGCATCTATGAACTGTCCAGTACCTTTGGCCTCTGAGAGTAAATTCATAATAAAATTTGGGTCTACCGCTATATTGGGATTAGTCTCCACAGTTTTAGATGGTTCACTTTTATTGTTAGATATGTCAACCATAGGAAAAAATATTGAATCCATAGCTCTTTTTTTAGGCTTTTTTTTTGGATGTTCTTCAACTTCGTCGATATCCATATAGTTAAATGGGTCTTCGTTTTCGTTATTAAACACTGGATGATCATTTGATATTTTTCTTTTTGTAGGAACAGCCAGGTTTTCAACAGTCTTCGATTGTAAATTATTAGTATTGTTCACATTATTGTCAGCTACGGTGCCTTGAAGCCAAGCTGACAATTTACTGGTGCTTGAAATGTACTGTGAGCTTGACGCTGTGGTTAAACACAAATTATCATTTGTAAATGTGTTATCAACTGCTTGGGTTTTAGGAATATGACTTTGCACATCATGGTTACTACTGGATGGAGTTGGTTCAATTAAGTTTTGGAACGGTTTTAAATCCTCTTCCATTCTTATTGTTTGTATAGTGTTATTTTTTTCTTCACTATTTGCCAATAAGGGACGTTTTGTTGGTAACATCATTTCTTCAGAGTCAGATACAACTTCTAATGGTCTAAAAAATTGTTAATAAGAATATAAAATAAAGATTTAAAACACCAATTAGTATATTATAATGAAATACCTCTTAAAGGCACTTTCAGTGTTTGGATGAGAATCTGGTATGGTGTTTGGATGAGAATCTGGTATGGTGTTTGGAAGAGAGTCTGGTATGGTGTTTGGAAGAGAATCTGGTATGGTATTTACTGAAAATATTTCACTATCATTAACAGTTAAAACCTGAAATATAAAAAAAATATCCCAATAATTATTATTTTAGTATGAATAAAACTACAAGATTGAAGTACCTCAGTTTCAGGAGCCAAGACAACGGACTCTTGTGATTTAATTAAATTGGACTGAGATTCAAGATTAACTAAGGAAACATTGAAATCAGAGTTGCAATGTTTTGTAGTATTTGAAAAAATTACGGCAAATCCAATATCATTTTCTGGTATTGATCTTTTGTTTGCAATCTTAAGTTTTTCTAAAACCAATAATAATGAAGTATAACTATCAACAATTAATTTAATAATTTCTTAGGTAAATTTTATTAGTAATTGCATCAAATAAATATTAGTAATTAGTTGATTTTTAAACTCAGTTGGCTATTAGGATTATGACTCAATTATGATAATAACACTGTATATTAATATTTATTGTAACAGTTATTATTATGCTTTAAGTATATTATTATAGGTTTCTAATAAAAACTACACAAATAAAAGGGAAAAAATAATGCTTACACTGTTCATCACTATTTTAGCTGTAAAATGAAAAAAAAAAACTTAAAATGTGAACGTTCCATTTTAATCGTATAGTTTCTATCTACCTGAATCCAACTATTCTTTCTTTAATCTATATCAAAAATGAGAAATATAAATAGATAAGCAATTTATCATTCAATCTCTACAAACTGCTTTTAAGCTATTTAGTATAGAGCTTTATAAATGAATAGTTATCATACTTGCTATAAATTACAATAGTTAAATTCCCATTTTAGTTCTTAAAAATATTATACATTAATTTTAACCTCTCCACACATTAGAGATCAGCTATTAATATTTCACAGACATTAAGTAGAAATTACCCAGAATTTGTTGGTACATATAATCATTTTCCTCATTGTGTGGATCTTGTTGCAGTAGAATATATTGTGTACAGCTTAAAATATCATCATCAGATAAAATTCCATCAGAATAATTCATAATTTCTCCACCTAAATAATAAAATATAAGCTTATACTTCTTAATCTACATTTGTTGTAAAACTGTGTTTACCTGCTAATTTCACCAATTTTGAAAGACGATTTAATTGATTAACTGTAGAACATATAAATGTTTTTCCAGAAAATAGTGTTTTACGTTTGTTATTCACATCTAACGACAATGAATTTGGGTTTAAAAGACTTTCGACCAATTTAGGCTTGTAATCCATACAGAACGGTACTTCCGACAACGAATCAGGTGATAATGCTTTACATAAATCAATAAAATACTGAAGGGGTACTATTGATTTTGCTGATGCTAGACATAATAACACCTGAAAGTGACTTAAAGTTTGTAGAATAAAATAAGGAAAACATATTTGGTAAATCAAAAATACACTGAAAAAATATATGTCCTACTATCATAAGTAATTCATAACATTATTGTTATACAAATAAAAATAAATAAATAGCAATATTATTAAAACTTACTTTTTTTTTAACAATAAATGATATAAGTATATAACTTTAAAACAAATGGCTAATTTACAAATTTACTATTACCGTTACTACAGCGCAATTTTCACCGAATGTTTATATTAGCATTTTTCAATTTTTTTAGTTTTTTTTTTAATAATTGTCAATAAAACTTTATTTGTAGGGTAAAAAAGAGTGAAAATTGAATACAAGGCTCCTGATATAATGTTACTATAGTCTATAGTAGTTGAAAAACATTAAGAATACATAGAAACAATTTTTTTATAAGCACTTAAAGTTTGAATTTTGACAAAATTTAATAATTATTTTGTAGTTAAAAATATATAATGATAATGATTTATAGATAATGATTGAAAATGTAAAGCAATGTTCTACGTAAATAGGTTATACATAAATTACTTTATTTACAATAATATCATCAAATTTACTTGGTAATCTCATAAGCTCTCTGACCGCCTTCGCTCGGAATTAAATTTAACACAATCCATTACAGTGACCCACTTGTAACCTACTGTACAGTAGTGCAACACCCACTTGCCCACCTTCTCTATATTAAATTTATTGTTGCAGTATGTTGATATAATTCAAGCAGTAGTTTATTTTATTAGCTGTTGATTTTCTTTTTGATGGTAGCATACCATTATACCTATGCCGAGAAGTTTTAATTTTGCTCTATTACTCAACTATAAGGTGCTAATTCGGTATGCGCTCTACCGACAAGTTTCTGTTTCTGTATGCGCTCTACCGAAAAGTGTTGTGAGTCGGTATCCATGTACTCTACGGTCTACATAGGTCGTTTTAACTGGGTTTTATTTTATATTTATATTTGTTAAATTTGTTTGTATTATTTTATTAATGACTCTTTGCAGACAAGTATCTGAGTCGGTTATTTTATATTTTATATTTATTGATGATTCTTTACAAACAAGTGTCTGAGTTGGTTATTTTATATTTTATTAAGAGGACGTCGCACCCGCATGTGTTGTCTCCGTCTTACACACATACGATATAGCAAATGTTCGTTGGATAGTTTCAATAGGGTATTGTCAGTTTTTATATTAGAGTGAATTGACCTATTATCAAACTTTTAGGTAAGAACAGTATCTGTGTTCTTTCGTTGGTTTTTTACTATATTTTAATTTTTAAGTGAGTTATGAACACTTTACATACCCATAACTCACTTAAAAATTTAAATATCGTAAAAAACCAACGAGAGAACACAGATAATGTTGTTACCTAAAAGTTTGTTTTTAAAAAAAATATATATTATACTCGTAACGAACAACCTTCGTTAAGTGATGACTGTACTAAAAGCAAAACCAACAGTAATACAAATTAAGGTAAAGATAATTAGAGATTATCAAGATTATTAACAGTTGAAAGAAATACCCAACATATTATATAAAAACGAGGCAGATAACGCATATACAGTAATTGAGGTCCAATATCCGCGTACCGAATGTAGACTGAGAGTAGAACGCCAAAACCGGTAGAGCGCATACCGAATTAGCACCCAATAATTGGTATACATATAATATATTAATATATCTTTAAAATTAGTTATAGATAGGTTGCAATAAATCACATTGTTTGAATAAATATTAATACACTTGTATGAACTACAACATTGTTTCCAACAATGCCCAAGTCTTCTCTCAAAACATTCAAATTTTGTTTTAATCTAGCTTATATATTATATCAAATCAAGACTGTAACTGAGGGGGATCCAGATCCCCGAATTTTTTTAAAAGTAGAACAGTTTTAGCTATGAATATTGTTTATTGACTATTTTATTAAGAATATATTTTTATATTTAAAACGTAATAATGAGTGTAAGTTTCTATTTTTAAAAAAAAAAATGTGGATCCCCCAATTTTTTTTTCCATTTACAACTATATACTACCTATTAATTTTGTTTAGATGATATTATTATAATGTAATGAAATAAAATAAAAATATAAGTTAGGTAGGTACAACAAATTTAACGGGCATAATAAATTTACCTTTTCTGTAACAGTGACAGAATTCATACAGAGATGTGTACATTCTACAGACCAATCACGCGATACTTGTCCTCCCATTTTTGTCATTAGATGTTTCAATGCTTCTTTTTCAGCAGTTCTCAATGTTGACGGACAAGCCATTAAAGGATATTCCTCAACACTGTAATAAAATAAGTATTAATGTATACCTTTTGTAGGTAGTAAAACAAATTATGTAAACATTTTTAAAACTGTATATCACTTGTGATAGTATTATAATATTAGTAGTTAATAATTGAGATTTACTCACGTCCAAATGCTATTCATTATGCCAAAACGAATTGTGTCACCAAAATTTAAAACTTTAGTGATATTACTTTCAATTTGTTTATCCAGAGCATTTATAAATGTTCCATACTTTGATTTCTTGTCCACTAGAGTCAAAAAGAGTTTCACTTGACTGCCGACTACCTAGAATTAAAAATGACAAATCAACACTGTTAGTCGTTTAGAGTACCAAATACCAATGAAGCAATCTGTAGGTACTACTCGTACTTCTTTGACAAGAATGAGTTCTGCATGACAACGGCTAATGGATGTATCATCTGATATTTCTAGATCAGCACCGAATCCAGCACGACCGACCAGTTGAGTCCTTTTATTCAAAACGTCGTAGTATTCCCGTGCTGTAATACAACAGTATATCGAGCATTATACACACAGTACTTATCTTTATAAAATACACTTAACATTGTTGATTCAAACCTTTGTTGTACTCACTTTTTACATTCATCAACGTCGGTATGGACATACTCTGGGACAACGATGTATCCCTCGTTTTTCGGCAGTCCATTTCGGTTAAAAATTGAAAAACAGCGTTTTTAATATTTTGTAGTCGGTCTCGTTAATGCCACTTGCGGTCTGTCGACTATCAGTCTGTCTGTCTGACTGCGGTGAATGGTGATTGACCGATTTGACAGGTTCACAGAAATTTAATAACGAACATTGGATGGCGGGGTGGACAATAACAATGTATTGTTTATCTACATTCCACAATAACAATATTAAATAATATTAAATTATAGGTATAGTAACTATATAGTAGGCACGATTTAAGATACCATCGTAAATCGTTTCAGTAGGACGTGCCTGACAATTAAATAGTCACTGCCTCCTATAATTCAAAAATTCAGAGAATAAACAGTCTGGGATTGTTGTTTTTTTCAATTGTGATAAGATAACCGTGTTGCTATTTCGAAACGTTTGATAAAATAAAAACGGTGGACGTATAGAAAAATTAATAATAATCTTAATTTGCATGCCAGACCTTTAATAATCTCTAACGGTCTCTTTAGTAGGATAAAACATTAATCATTTGACGTCTGGTATGTGTTTAAATGTTAATTCGGTCAAATTCAGGTCCTCAGAACATCGTCTGACAGTCGCTGTTCACAATGTCTTCGTACGATTCGAGGTAAACTTTAAAACATTTCGGACACAATTTTTACTCCAACATCATCCACGAGATGACTCAATATAATAATAATTTTTTTTTTCAGGTTGAAGGATCTTGACCAAGTGTTAGAATCAGAAGTGATCGATCTATCAAAATTGAGGGAGTTCTGTTTCAACGGTTGTTATTGCTCAGTGTACCTATTTCTTAAATGTTCTAGCCCCATGTACCTTTATGCGTAATATAATTTTTTTCAGGTATTCCTGACGTTAAAGGTTACAGGTCGTTATGTTGGAGGTTGTTGCTAAATTACTTACCATGCGATAGAAATAAATGGGATGAACAGCTAGACCATCATAGAAAACTATACCAGCAGTGGTTAGGTAATTGAAATGTGTGATAAAAATATACTATTATATTTATTATTTGGTTCTTATAATATAATAATAATAATTTGTATTATAAACAAATAAAATTGTATTGCATTAGGATCATATTAAACATTTTTTTAAAAAAAATTTCATGTTATAGGTACAGGTCTAAAAGACTAAAAGACAACTTATAAATTTAAAAAAAGTATATTTTAATACTTTTTTTAATTTGTTTGATAGAACTTCAGAGAATATAATTAATGATTTATCAATTACTACATATTTTAATTCTTCAGATGAAATATTAGTCACTCCGGGTTCAATCGACAATGAAGAATGTGATCATCCATTGAGTGAGGATCCCAACAGCAAGTGGAACACATTTTTTAAAGATAATCAAGCTCTTACACAAATAGATAAAGATGTCAGGTAATAATAATTCAGAGGTTCGGTCCATAGAATGTGTAGTAATAATTTATAATTATTTTCTAAATTTTAGGCGATTACATCCTGAATTATCTTTCTTCCAACAAGCAACTGATTATCCATTACCTATTGTTGTATACAGTTGCGGTACTAAACGATTGAACAGAAGAGTGGGTATGCATTTTCTAAATAGTGCAAATGTTGTACGAAAAGGTCTTGGTATTGTTAAAATATCACAAAAATCCGAACAAACTAGTACCTCTGAATTCAAGCCACTGGAAGAAGGTTCTGAAGCCCATTGGGAGGTGGTGGAAAGGATATTGTTTGTTTACTGCAAATTAAATCCTGGACAGGGTTATGTACAAGGAATGAATGAAATAATTGGTCCAATTTATTATTGTTTTGCTACTGATCCAATTATTAAAATGAAAGGTAAAATATTAAATTTTATCCTTCCGATATATTTGTTTGTGACTTATCCACATTGATACGTTATATGTACATGGGCATCCGGGTACCTAGACACAGCCTTGATTATATTTATATTAATATTATAATATTATATTGATATTTTAGTCTAATAACATAATATAATATTGGTTAGTAATTTTACATAATGTATTATGTATAACAAAATAATTACATTCAAATTTAAAGAAATGTTAATGTTTTATTAATCATCTACATTGTAACGAGTCAGTTTTTTAATTTTTATGTAGTGTTTAATTATGTTATTAATTTATAAAAAATTATGCTGTGCTTTTGCAACACAAACTATCTAAAATGGCTACTTTATTTTACATTTATAATCATTTTTAGAGCATGCCGAGGCTGACTGTTTTTTTGTCTTTACTAATCTTATGTCAGAAATTCGTGATTTTTTCATAAAGACATTAGATGAAACAGATACTGGAATTGTTAACATGATGCGTAAAGTAACAGACAGGCTGAAAGAAAATGATCCAGTTGTCCATAGCTATTTAGTCAAAAATGAAATTTATCCACAGTACTATAGTTTTAGGTAAGTTGTTTTGTGATTATTTTTGTTTTTATATTCATAGTATTTTATTGTTTGCCTTAATGTATAATTTTTTTAGATGGTTAACTCTGTTATTGTCTCAAGAATTTTCACTGCCAGAAGTCTTAAGGATATGGGATTCACTGTTTTCTGATTCACAGCGATTTTCATTTCTCATTGATATATGCTGTGCAATGATTGTGTAGGTTTAGTTTTTGTATTACAATAATATTTAGTGTCTTGGTACCAACCAATATTTTAGAGCAGAGCAGTAGAAGCTTAAGCTTGTATAATAGTGTACCATATTAGATTTATTTTGAATGTTTTAATTGTTTTTACTGATACTGTAATGAATTGTTGAAAGGTTGCAAAAAGCTGCTTTGTTGAATAGTTAATTTGCTCCACATTAAGAAGGTTATAATTTAAGTAGTAATTATAATTTAATTTCATATCCTAATCTGTGTTTTCTTAATTTTTCTGAGAGCTATAGTATGCTAAATGTTAGTGAACATCAAATTTTTCACTTTTTGAATGACTACCTAAACTAGGGTACTCCAAAATTTTGTACTTGGTAGGCCATTTTATACATTCATATAAATAGTCACACCTGTCAAAAGAAAAAAAACAATTTTATTTATATTTTATTTTATTACAAACATAATATTATAAAATGCATAAGTTATTAGTTATCATGATATAATTATTTCACAGATTGATATTAATATACAATTATGATGGTTAAATGACTTATAGTTATTAAATAAAGGTGACTAATATGTCTTAGGGTGGCCAAAAAAAAGGCTTCAAAGGCCGCACGCCTTATTTTAAATTAATGTTATTACTACACTTTTTTTTATAGTTTAATCAGAGATCAAATACTGGCAGGAGATTTTTCGACAATCGTCAAACTATTGCAAAATTATCCTAATGTTGAAACTCGTGTTATTTTGAATAAAGCTGCAGAATTAAGTGTTAAGAACAGAGAGTAAGTAATAATTATAATAATTTATTATTATTAATAATGTTGAGATAAACCTGAATTATATTTACTACCTAATGTACAGCAAAAAATAAAAAGTAGAATACCTGTATTTAAATGATTGATTTTAGTTGTTTTTACTGTTGAACATAAAAACACTTGTTACATTTTACTATAATAATATAATAATACCTTATTTAAACATCATAACATCATGATGAAACTTGAGGAAAAAAATAAATTTCAGAGAATTTACCGACAAATATACTACAAACAAATTAATGGTATTAGTAGATTATGGACATTATTTTTCCTAAAAAATGTAAATAACTATGATTTTGTTATAAAAATTGAGTACATTGTGACAGTTCATCAAAGTATTATCTGTTTTAAAAATTATAATTGGGTCTTAATGACGTCTAATCCTTTATATGAGTTAACTTAATGTCTACGCAACTATTCATGGTCTCTGAGACACATTCTAAGCAATAAGCAATAGTAAGTATGATCGATTTTATACAATACATTCACTACATTGATATTATATTCATTTATTAGTATAATGATTTAATGGTTTAATTCATTTTAATGGTTTTCAGTGAGGAATCAAGTGGAATATGAACAGATACCAGGTGTTTTGACCTTCAGCTCTCTGAGAAATGATCAAACATTGTTTTGTGATTTTTTTTAAATTCTCTCAATCACAAGTTTAATTATATTTTATTTATTTTGCATTAAGCATTATTTATATTTTTAGGTATCTAATCTATCAATAATCTACTACTTTTTAATATTATTATTCTATTTTTTAAGACTTATTGTCTATATTATCTACATATATTAACGTCTATATTATTTTATTCTTTAAATGTTAAAAATCATTGTTTTTCACTATTTATTAAAAAAATGGTATTTTTGTTCTATGTTATTGTGAGAGTTTCATTAAATTATTCCACATCTATAATGTTTATGAATATTATGCATGCAATTTTGGTATAATGGTCCGTAATAATTTAATACAAATTGGTCGTGTACTCATGTTGGATTGTTTAATGATTTATTGAATTTTAATTTACTGATCAAGAATACAAAACTAAAAGTGTTTTTATTGTTTAAATAAAATCTTTGATTTGTAAATTTGGGAAATAATACTATATACAATAAAACGCGGTAACTTTGTACCATTTTTCAGAATTTTTCAACTTAAGGGCTAAATTAAACTAGGCTGCACTTAAAAAAACTAAAAAAAAAAATTTACATAATTGTATGGGTTTAGACATGCCTTTGCTGAATATAATTTCTAATTTTTTAACCACAAAAAAGTTTTTCAAGAAAATGGGGCAAAGTTAGTTACCAGAAATGTGTTTACTTTGTCTCACCTCCAAATATTGCTATAGATTTGCTGTTCACCCTACTTTGGGCTAAAGTTAGCCTATGCTAGGTTAATAAAATTAGCAAGTACCTGAGAAATAATTAAGTCAATTTTAATGGTAAAATAACTAATAAGTAATAATAGCAAATAAAACAGCCATTTTTAGAAAAATTTATTTTCTTTGAACATACATAGTCACAACAAAAAAAAATGCGCAGTTTTTACTAAAAAAAAAATATATCTGCATTTAACAAAAATAAAGATAAGTTATCAAACAAAATCTTCTACCTCTGGCTAACGAAAAAACTTTGTTTGCCTAATAAAACCATATAACTCGGAGTAACTTTGACCCACCAAATAACACAGGGGCAAAGTTATCCCGACCTTGAAAACGTGTTCTAACAAATGAAAAATTGATTTTTTTTTTAAATTTTTGACAAATACTTTATTAGTACTATATAATATGTGAGATCATGTCAGATTTACAGAGTTCTACGACGATTAACTCTGTCCGAATCAAACAAAAGTTAAAAGAAGTCACTTTTACGGTACAAAAAAAGTGATTACAAAAAAAATATTTATTTTTAACAAGACAAGTGGTAGTGGCAAAAAATGTTATTGCATTCGGTTACCAGTGTTGTTAACTATAGGAAACCACCACAACATTTTGATAATAGTCACATGTCTTATCAAAGCTTACAGAAGTATTTAAAATTCCAACGGTGGGCCAAAGTTACCTTCCGAATTTTGACAAAATTTAAAATATAATAATTATATTTTGTAGTTAAAAATTTATAAAATGTTCAACTTTTATAGCTAAGGATTGAAAATTTAAAACAAGGTTGCACGTAAGTATAGTTTCTGTAACCGAAAAATCTCAAAAATATAAAAACAGTTTTTTTATAGTTGTTATATTATGTTCAAACTTGGAGGGAATTACATATTAAATAACCAAGAATAACGATTTTAGTTATTTTGTTGTAATTTTCCAATATTTTTTTTTTTTTTTATATAATATTAATTAAACTTACCGGCTACCCGCGTATTAAGAATAAGTACAACTGTACAAATAACGATATAGGTAAATATCCACACAGACAAACCGTCACCGATGAGAATCGTTTTTCGTATATTATTATACAGGATGCGGCAGTCAATTACATTAGTAATTTTGATAGAAGACTCCCCACAAATTATCCTATCTTAAACAAAATTTACCTGTTTTAAGTTTTTATGGTATCGGATGTTCATCGGTAAATTAATGAATTTCACCCGGGTACCCGTTTCGCCCAAATTTTGTTTTTATATGATTCCCGTTTCGCCCACTCTAGTTTAAACCAATTAAACATTTTTTTGGTAATAATTATTTTAAACTGTATAATATTTTTATATTTGAGTATCATTAATTAGCGTTATTTAGAGAACACCACGAGGAGGTGATACCCACTCTGTTCTCCAAAAAAAAATGGTATGTGCATTTAACAAATTTAAATTACTATAGGTATGAATTCATTAAAACTATGTGTAATAATTTAAAAAATAAAATTTATATATTAATAAAATATATTTTGAAAGATTAAAACCTTTAATAATTTTATTGTATCTATAGATTTTTTATAAATAGTGTTAAATATTTTAAATTTGTTTTATGTACCAATTTTTTGAAGACTAAAGAACATCGCCTCCTCGTGATGTTATTTATATTAGATATAACACTAAATGATACTCAAATATTAAAATATTATATAATTCAAAATAATAATTGCCAACTTAGCTTTTAATTGGTCTAAACTATAGTCTGGGTGAAACGGGAATCACATAAAAACAAAATTTGGGCGAAACTGGTACCCGGGTAAAACGGGGAGGGTAATTTTTGGGTGAAACGGGCTACTGCCAGTATTATAACTATAATTTAGTTCATTTTGTAATGTTCCTTACTTATATAAACATGTCATATTGTCATGGATTGAATATTGACGATAAATACAATATTTACAATAGGTACCTATTACACAATTTATTGGATTAATATTATTTTAAATATTATTTTTTGTTCTAGACGATATTACTTATTCTACCTCACTACAGCAGTGTGACTGTGTAAGTATAGTACCTATATACCTAAATAAAAATACTTAAAACGGTATAGCTGGTAAGTGTTTCCTTTCGTTAATCCCTCTAAACAGAAAAAAACAAAAGTAAAACCCCTCTTTTTTCGACTCACACAAGGAAAAAAGTATGTATTATGTATAATACGTGAAATCTCTCTGCACTAAAGTTTAATTCTTTCTAGTACCTATACAGCTTATACACTCGCGTAATGCTGTACGACGATATAATATTGTGTTATATTTTTTTTTTCGATACACTTGTAAGTTGTAACTATACAACAGTGGTACGTTTAGTCCAGAGATATAATATATATTGTTATATTATACAGTCATCGACGAAACAATAGTAGGACCAGGAGAACGGATTACTCGCTTGTATATAATTTAGGTACTCGATGAGTCCGGGCACCCTCTCTAAGTACCGCATCAGTAACGTGACGTAGGTACTAGAGTATTTTTTACTCAAGTTAGATTTATATCTATAATACTTAATAGTGTAATACTTATAGATTTTTATGTAAAGTCAAAGGACATTTTATCTGTACATTTATTTCCGCTGCAATATAGATAATAGGTATTAAGGAGCATCCATGAGTGTGCACATTAAAATAATGTATAACAACACTGTGAATTCTATAGAACCTATAGCAATCTCATGTCACATATTTTTAACGAGGCACAAGTGTACCACGATTGCAGTGATTTGTGATATCATAAATTGTTTGTATATGTATATAATTGCCGCAATTAAGGAGCGAGCAGATGCATCCCTATTAGTTTGTTTAGCGCTAAATAAAAAAGAACTCAAGCGACTAAAGCCCTTTCGTTCTCAAGGACATCGTTTACTAGAAAAAAAAGAAAGAAAATAAGTATACATAAGTAAATAAGTAAATTAAGATTCCAAATAAGTATATTAAGAAATAATTTTCGGTGCCATTTTCATTTCCACTTGCAAGATTTTCACTTTTGAGTAGGTAGGTATACCTGGTACCTACTAAACCTACTAAGGATGGTCGTTCCAAGGCTAGAATTTTGATGAAGATGGATTATTTTTATCGCATATATCAGGTATATGGATAGAGTCGGTCATGTCTGTAGTGTCATGTATAAAATCGGTGCAACTGTAGGGGCCTAAGTAGAAAACGTCTCTGAACAAACACATAATATAAGCTCGCACTTAAATATTTCTCTCGGCTCATCGATCATATACCTAGTTTGCTCGCCATTTTACCCACCGACCTATACATAATATTATATATTGTGCCAGGTAACTATACATACATAATATGCTCGATATGAATTTGTACGCGTTTCTGTTTCGGACAAATGCATTTTGATTGGACATTTTTCGACTAATAAGGTCTCTTTATATATATTATACGAATACATAATATATATGTATATATTATTCATCAGCTTTTTGGGTAGGAATTCGAGTCATCTCGGGCATACGACACGAACGAATCGTCAAAACGCTTATAATATAATATACACACATAATAATATAATATACGTATAGGTATACTTTGGGAAAAATATATAGTACAGGCGATACAAGACGACGACAACGACGATGACGGAACACGCGGATAGTAGATGTATATATTGTATGTGTTAATATTTTTATTATTATCATTATTATTTTACGTTTTTGATTGACGTGCGTACCTCGTGTGCTCGCAGATCGCCCAAAGAACATCATAGCCATATAGCCTCCTCGGCGGCAGTCGGCGGCGATCGGGCGATGACAAATGCTCGCCGCCGCACCACTTACACTTTATGCTCACACACGCACGCACACTCGTACACAGGTGTGTAATGTGTATAATATAATATACGAAAGCCGAGCTCACACACACACGGTACATTGTATGATTGATGTTCCGACCATGACCGTATGAATATTTTAGGAATGCGACACTACGACGCTGGACGACCCGGTTATATTATTATATATTATTAGGTATATTATATTATTATTATATACATATGCATTATATACACACACACATATATATATATATATATATACCATATACGTACAAATGCGTGTACAGAGCGAGCGTAAAATCATTTACATCTGCATGCGGCTACGTACCAGTATATGTGGTGATGCAGCTGTTCATTGTTATTGTTAT